GCGAAAGGAAGGATTCTTCATAGCAAGGAACAAACTTGTTTTTTCTGTGTGCTGTGACTTCATGCACCGGACTGCAAAGTCTGTTTGAACCACATGGTCAGCAGTTCAAGCTCACCAGCTGCTCCTTGGAAACCCTATATAGGGTCGCTGGGGTCAGAACCAAGTCAACAGCACTTAACAACAACAACAAAAACAACTCACCTCGGAAGCCTGATCTGATCTAAGGGAAGTTTCCCTGGGATGTGACCTGAATCACCATGTATCTTGTAAGAGATAAAAGGAGAGAGAAGTGAGAAGGAGGGATCTCAGTACCACCAGGAGAGAAGATCCAGGAGTGGAACTCATCTTTAGATCCAGAGCCCCTGCAATGAGGACCTCCTAGACCCAGAGGAAGATTAATGCAAAGACAAATGGAGATCTCCAAGGAGCAACAACAGTTCCACAGATGTTGTAAGGAAAGTACAGAGGTCTTCCTCCAGGGCTGACCGAGAGACAGTCTAGAGTTGGCACCTTGAGTTTGGACTTCTAACCTCCAACGTTGTGACAATAAATTTGTCAAAACCATCCACTTGTGGTATTTTCAATATAGCAGCACTTGATAAAGAAGATACTACCTAAGGGAGATTTTTCAACAAACGAGGCTACATCTTCTTCTGTCCCCATAGAACCTGTCACTGCATTCTCGTACATCATCTTGAGAATATGTATTCCAAAACTCCACATGGGGATGTATGAGATTGAAGAGATGGTGCTTTAATGAAGGCAGGTCTGTAATAAGCTCAGTAAGTGATTCTCTCAGTAGGACAGCTTCTGACTTCCAATTGAAAACTTCGAACCTAACTACTTCTTTTCTTTGGGCAAACTTACATTTAAATATTCCAGAAAGAATTCTGAAAAGAAAAGTCTACAATTTATTTTTCAGTAGACCTATTTTATTGTTTTCTAAGATCTGTTATGTAAAATGTTTTTCAATTGACAACAGAAATTCTACTGCATTTTCCAATTTAGAGTGATACATTTAGCACAGAAACTTAAATTCTTCTTCAAACTTTCTAGAAAACACTTTATGTATATGGTATGTGTATTTACTTTTCTACTAGGCTTAATTTAACAAAATCTCAATATAAAAAGAGCTCAGTGTAGGAGCTATCTATTAGGTAAGGAAGGCCTATGGTAAGTGCTGGTTGAATCTGTTCTGACTCATAATGACCCTGTATATAGTTCCTGAGGAATAACTGGTAGATTTGAACTCCAACTTTGTGGTTAGCAGTCCAGTGCTGATCCTGTAAGCATCATACCACGCCTCCAACAAGGCCTCTATTCTTAGTTTTTCGAAAATTTATAGACACAGAAATGATTTAAGTGACCTGATTTCTATGCTACCAAACAAGTTTACTAAATATGTATTACCAATTACTGAGAGAATAACTAATGTGTACAGAATCTCTGGGGTGGATGGATATAAAGGATGGATACCCAGAATTAAAAGGGTACGGTCATACTATGGTGAGCAGAAAGAAATTTTAGATGCATATGCGTTTTAAATGAGAAGAACTATAATACTGATTTATAAACTAAGTGGAAGTGGTTTATAGATTAAAGAAAAAAAAATTTTTTAAAGAGTAAATTTGGACTCAGGGAAACTCCACGTGGGCATCAGAGCAGAGCTGGACTGATTTTTCAGAAGTAGATTGCCGCGCCTTTCTTCTGAGGGCCTCTGTTGTGGTTAAGTATCAAGTTGGTGCTGATTCGTAGGAAACACTTATAAGGTCTCCAAGGAGCAGCTGGTGGTTTGAACCACTGACCCTGTAGTTAGTAGTTCAGTGCTTATCCTACAATACCACACCAGGACTCCTGAGGTGTTTCTAGGCCGACTCAAACTTTCAACCTTTTGGGTAGCAGCTGAACACTTAACCATTTGGGACACTCAGGTACTCCCTGGTTTATAGATGCCACGTCTCAAAAAGGAGATCCAGCCTCTAGAATAAAATGCCAAGGAAACAGATTTTATTACATTATTGATAAATGTGGAAAGCTGAGCAGTGATCCTTTAAAAATACTCTACAGTGGGAGATTAAAGGCACAATGATTCCTAATTAGTGTGTTAGCACTGCCTTGTGCAATTCTGATACGTCGTTTGTAAAAGATTTTTCCTCACCACCAATCTTCCATTAATATTTTACTGCTGCTGCTGTTGTTAAGTCCTTCTAGTCAGAGACCGCCAAATGAACAAACAAATCAGTGTTGGAAGAAGTACAGCCAGCATGCTCCTTAGAAGCCAGGACGGCGAGACTCTGTCTCATACTTCACACATGTTATCAGGAGGGGCCAAGTCCCTGGAGAAGGACATCATGCTTGGTAAAGTGGAGGGTCATCGAAAAAGAGGAAGACCCCCAACCAGATGGCAGCAGCAATGGGCTCAAGTGTAGCAACTGGAAGATGGTCCAGGGACTGGGCAGTGTTTCATTCTGTTGCGGATAAGGTCGCTATGAGTCAGCACCGACTCGACTCGAGGGCACCTAACAACAACAAGTAAAACTCCAACTCAAAACGATCTGTGTAAGTCTTCCAAGAAGTGGCTGGGGGATTTGAACTGCCAAGCTTGGGGCTAGCAGTTCTGAGCTTATCATATAGTGCCACACCAGGACTCCAGTTTAACACTAGGAGGTGGGAAAAAACTGATCCATATTCAAGAGAAAAGGAGGAAAACAATAACAAATTGGCATCTCTTCTGTGAATTGCCCTACAGGCCAAGCATTTTTATGTTCTTAATCATTATTAAATGACTTAACATGACACCCAGAGCCTGGCAAATGATTGCATCCTGACATGAGAACGAATTACAAATGAAATGAAAGATCAAGCCGTATTAGAGGACTGCCTCTGGGAAATGAAAATCTTTAATTCTCTTTTATTATTGACATTTATTTGGCTGCCATGAATAACAACATAGCAAAGAGATTCAGCTCCGCTTGTGCACTGAATAGCTTATCCCAGGGCTCAAAACTGCATTAACATTTATCATGTTTGCTTTTGTAGCTGACACGACTGAACAGATTCTCTATCCATCTTGTATTTATCATGCATAGCAGATACAGAGCATCCTCTCATTTAAGTTCATTTTCATCTGGTACAAACAGCAAAGATTAGCCTATGTCTTTCTTCAAATAAGTTCTGCTTGTAAGCATTCCCAAGAATGGTTTAATAGATTTAGTAATATTGAGTTAAAGAATAAAATGAGTTAAAAAAGAAACCCAGTCACAGAATGGTGAAGCTAATTTTTTTTTTAAATGTGGAAAAAAATCATACAAATTCACAACGAGAGACACTTGTACAATATGCGTACCTGGACTCTACGGAGCTTTAAAATAAGGGTCGCCATCAAGAGCAACCAAACAGCGTTGTCAGAAATGGAGAGCAACGCTACAGTTCCTGGATGAGAAGAAGTTCCGGGGCCCACTCCTAAGACAGTATTAGTTTGTATCATCAATTCAGGGGTACCCTTTCATGGTTTATTTTCTCTCTCTTACAAATTAAAAACATGGCTTTTCCTGCCACAATACAAGACTACATTTGGTGCCTTTGCTCACATGATGCGCTTTACAGGAACCCTTTTCTCCCTTTCTTTCAATTCTTCCTAGATTTCAAAGCTTAGCAAGGATGTCAATGTATCCTGGGAAGTCATTTTCAATCTCTGAATCTTGTCTTAAAACTTCATTTACTTTTTTTCCCCACTTTGAATTTGGAGACTTTCCAACATATGCACAAATGGATAACTATGTAATAAAGCCCACATTATCAATCACCCACAGTCAACCATTGTTAACCCAGGACCAATATAATTTTATTGGTACCCTTACTTCACAATGTATCACTCAATGAAGTATTTTGAAACACTATTTCTTAAAGGAAATCTCTGAATCTTGCTTTTATAAATTCTAAAATAAGAAAGTTGGAATGAATTATTTCTAGGGTCTCTTCTATCCAAATTTTGACAGTAATTTTTTTTTTTTAACTCTGTTCAGGCTTATATATTTAACTCAACAAACACTTTACATTCACTACAACATTTTTTTTTCTTTAGCCTTTACAGATTTCCTTTTCTGAGTCAATACACCCTAGATCATCTCTACTAATAATTAAGAATTATAATCATACTTTACTTTGTATTCACATTTTAAAATGTTTTAATTATATTTCCTTGCTATTGCTTTGTATCCAGTGTTCAGAAGAATACAGGTAATAATTGTTACTGTTTATAATAACTAATTACCTGGCAGAATTAAAAGGTTTATATTTTGGTTTAAGTAGTAGTAGGTAGCATCATATTGACAATATTAATCACTTAAATTAATACAGTGCCTGTTTACTAGAAGAAATTCTAATTCTATTTTTATGTGTCTATGGAATGGAATCCTGGTGTGGTCTTGTGGGCTAATGACTGGACTGCAAAACTCAGTTTGAACCTGTAGGTGAGTGGTTCAAACTCACCAGGTGCTCCTTGGAAACCCTGTACAGGTTTGCTGCAGGTCGGAACAGACTCAACGGATCTTAACAACAACAGATGGAATAGATACTGAGAAAAAGCAATAGATTTTCTTCTTGAAGGAAAACTGGAGGAAGGAACTTATTTTTGGATTTTATTTCTTCACAGTTGGATAATTTTACTTTATTCTAGCACAAGCTCTTAGTAAATAACATATATTTGTTTTTCAGAAAACATACTTACAGATGAAAAAAAATCTCAAACCCAGAATAGGTAAGGAAAACAAAATCAAAATAGTTCTACTCAATTGAATTTTAGTAAATTATCTTCTGAAAAGTGAAACCTTTTGTAGTGAAATAGAAGTTAGGTATAGTTATTAAAAAACAACAACAAAACACCCAACAACAGCAAAACGTAGAGCGCCTTGAATATACTATGAGAGAGGACTACAGAACTTTGTTATAAATGACCAGCACCCAGGGTTCAGGGTCTCTTACACACGTTCCACACGTACCTGTAGCCATTATTGTGTCCTCTCTTCCTTGGGTAAATATCACGATCCGCGGTCTCTTTGAATTCACCTTTGGCAGGGCTTGTGTCTTTCTGGCTATCTCTTTAATGTCTTCAGTCTATTAACAGAAAGGAGAGGGGGCAAAAAAAATCACATAACCAGTATAGTAACACAAAACTTCACTAAGGATTTAGTTTCTATGATCCAAAGCAGGGCCTTAGCAGCTACGAAGTAATTAAAAGGAAAACCATGTGTAAAGTACACAGAATAGCATGATGACCTCCAAGAAACCATCATAAGCTGTATCATATATATATATATAATTTTAAAAAATATTTTATTTTGAATTATGTGATAGTTTACATGGGAGAACATTAGCTTTACATTCATCCTATCATGCATCATGTCACTGCCATGGTTACAGTCCCCTCCATGCATCATCAACCAACCAAAGGGTTGTGATGACCAGCTGGTCATCAGCACACAGCCCCTCTCCCTCTCTGGGTGTCTGAATTATAATTTACGATCAATCTTATTTCATCAGTACCACAACCAACAGCCTTCTATACTGTTCGGAAATAAATCCCGGACACTACATGATATCATCCACTAGGCACTGGACTGAGAACAAAAAAGTCAGCAGTTCGAGTTCAGGAGACAGGCAATGTTTTCTGTTACCACAAAGATTTAAAGCCACATAACCTTGTACACGGTCACTATGTATCAGAACAGACTTGGTGGTACTTAACAACAACAACATAAATGTTTTTGGCACTAGACTGATAACCTCAACATTGGCAGTTCAAACCTACCAGCCTCTCCTCAGAAACCCTATACAGATAGCTAACAGTTGGAACCAACTCAACGGCATTTAACAACAATATAAATGTTTTACAAACACCATTATTTAAATAAGCTTAACCACAAAACTATGATCATACTTTAAAAAACTAACAATAATTCCTTAATATCAGCAAATATCTACTCCAATTTAATTATTTGATAGATTTGCACAGCATAATGATACTGACTCTTAGAATAATATATCCGCTATGTTTTTCTATTAAGTGCCATCAAGTTGGTTCGGACTCTTAGCAAACTTGTACAGGGTTTCCAAGGAGCAGATGGTGAGTTTGAATTGCCAACCTTGTGGTTTCAAGTCTGGTACTGATCCTACACTAACAGTCTCAATTGCTATAATGCCAAATTATTCAAAAGAGCTGAAATGGGGGGGCGGGGGGAGAGAGAAGGTAACCTTTTCCCACTGTTGTTAGGTGCCATCGAGTCGGCTCCGACTCGTAGTGTTCCCCTGAGTGGAACCCTGCCCAGTCCTGTGCCACCCTCACAACTGTTGCTATGATTAAGCACACCACGGATGGTGCGGCAGCCCCTACGGTGCGCACCACTGTGCCAATTCATCTGTTGAAGGTGTTCCACATTTTTTCTAACTTTCTACTTTACAAAGCATGATGTCCTTCTCTAATTATTAGCCAGTCTCGGCTAATAATATGTCCGAAGTACATGACACGGACTTGCCACCCACTCTTGGAGCGTTCCAGCTGTACTTAGAATGTTTTGTTCAGATTTGTCTGCTGTTCTGGTTGCCCAATATTCAATTTTCTACCCTAATACCATATGCCGCGAACCGCAAGGTCAGCAGTTCTAAACTACAAGCTGTTCCGCAGGAGAAAGACGAGGCCTTTCTGTTCCCGTAAAGATTTACAGCCTCGAAAACCCTGAGCAGAGTCACTAAGAGTTGGAAACCGACTCCACGGCCCATAAACACCACCAACACCATAATCCAAAGACATTAATTCTTCTTTGGTCTTCCTTATTAATATTGAAAATAACATGGCTTGAGGTCAGCTGCACCCTAGTCCTCAAAGTGACAACTTTGTTTTTTTTAACACTTTAAGGACGTATTTTCTCAGCACATTTGCCCAAGGTAATATGTTGTTTAATATCTTGACTGCTGCTTTCATGAGTGTTGATTGTGGATCCAAGTCAAAAGACATTCTTGACAACTTCAGTCTTCTCTCTATTTCTCATGATGTTGCTTATTGGTCCAATTTTCTTTATGTACTCTATAGTGAAAAATGTATACTTTGATTGACATCCGTAAATCCTTCAAGTTCTCTTCATTTTCAGCAATCAAGTTTGCAATCTGCATAAGGTTGGTTGTATATTACTGAGTTGGTTTGGACTCACAGCAACCCTGTACATGGTTTCTGAGGTTGTAAAACTTTATGGGAGCAGAAAACCTCATCTTTCTCCTGGGTAGTGACTGGTAGATTTGAACTGCTGACCTTGCAGTTAAGCAGCCCAGATCATAAACCACGACATTACCAGGGCTCCACCTGCATATCTGTGTTGTTTTTAAGTGTCCTCGAGTAGGTTCCAACCTACAGAGACCCTGTATAGGGTTTCTAAGGAGCACCTGGTGAGCTCGAACTGCTGACGTTGAGGTTCAAACAGATTTTGCAGTCCAGTGCATTAAGCCACAGTTCCAAACTAGGACTCCCTTAACTGCATTTAGAAGGTTGTTAATGAGTTTTCCTCCAATCTGGAAGCTACACTCTTCTTCATACAGTCCAGTGTGGATTATTTGCCCAGAATACAGATTGAATATAGTGCAGATAGAATAAGTATGGTGAAGGATAGAATCCTTTCATGATTTTAAACCATGCAGTAATTCCCCTGGTTGTATTCAAATGAATGCCTTTGGCCAAGGTACAAACTCTGCATGAATACAATTAAGTGGCCCAGGATTTCAATTGTTTATAATATCATTCACTATTTGTCATGATCCACACAGTCGAATGCCTGTGCATAGTCAATAACAAAACAGGTAAACATCTTTCTGGTATGCTCTGCTTTCAGTCAAGATCCATCTGACAGCAGCAATGATATCCCTCATTCCATGTGCTCTTCTTGAACCTGACTTGAATTTCAGGGAGTTCTTCGTCATATTGCTGACACTATTTTTGAATTATGTTCAGCAAAAGCTTACTTGCTTGTGATATTGATGATATCTGTTCAATAACTGCCACATTTGGTTGGCTCACCTATCAGTGGAGTGCTTGGTTGGCCAGGTAGCTGTCTTACAAGTTCTTGGCATTGATGACTAGTGCTTTCGCCATTGCATGCATTGGTTGAAATATTCCTTTCCTGGTAGTGGTGTACCGTGGAGTCAGTTCCAACTCACAGCAACCCAGCATAGGGTAGTATTGAAGGCTGTAAATCTTTACAGAAGCAGAAAGCTTCATCTTTCTCCCGTGGAACTGCTGGTAGTTTTGAAGTGTTGACCTTGAAGTTAGCAGCCCGACTCATAACCACTATGCTACCAGAGCTCCTATTCCTTTCCTACAAACACTCACCAAATACAATTTTCTTTCCAATGACAAATTAATTCTAGAACCTCTGATGCTATTTTCACACCACACAGGCTGTGAAGTTTATATCATAAATGTTCTGAATTGAAATCTAACTCTTGAGCTAAACATAGGAATTTTAGAATCATTTTTCAATCATTTCAGATCATGTAAAACTACCCACAGTTTAGTTTTATTGTTATATTACTCTATCACTGGGTAAAGTTTCAAACAGGTGTGAAGAAAGAAACAAATATCAGAGACACAATATATGTTAATGACACAAAGTCAATTGTAATATACGGGACAGAAAAAAATCTAGGGAAGCAAAACAAATTAAGATGGTTTGCAATGGTTATAAGCAACATTAGTTATTGTTGTTAGGTGCCATTGAGTTGGTACCAACCCATAGCGACCTAATGCACAACAGAACAAAACACTGTCTGATCCTGGGCCAACCTCATTATTGTTGCCAAGCTTGAGTCCACTGATGCTGCCACTTGGCCAATCCATCTCATTGGGGTCTTCCTCTTTTTCTCTGACCCTCTACCTTACCAAACATGATATCCTTCTCCAGTGACTGCTCCCTCCTGACAATATGTCCAAAGTATTAGAGAAGAAGTGTGGCCATCTTGGCCTCTAAGGAACACTCTGGCTATACTTCTTCCAAAATGGATCTATTGGTTCTTTGGGCAGCCCATGACACTTTCAATATTATCTCCTCCAACACCATAACTCAAAGGCATCAATTCTTCCTTATTCACAACATTAGAAATATGTATATTTATTTTGTTTTTGAGAAGATACACCACCAAAAATTAAAAAAAAAAAAACACACAAATTCACCAGTTTCCATATGTACAGTTCAGTGACGCTGATTACATGCTTCAAGTTGTACAATCATTCTCATCTCCCATTCTCCCCCTAAATTAATATAAATGTATTACCCCCTAAAGTTCCTATTTAATCTTTAGAATTGTTGTTGTCAATTTGACCCCATATAGTTCCTTAAGTCTCATATAATTGTATGAAAATCCCTGTTACCTCAAAAAAGACATTACCCCCTTGATTTCAGCATGATTTCTATTATCATTGTATCAACAAAAAACCCAAAGTAGATTATCCAAGACCAGTAGTTTCACAGGAAAAAACCATGACATTTTCCTAGGTCTGACAATGTCTAGTGAACTTTTTGTTATGTAGTTTGTTCACTAAAATTTTAAGGTATTTCATAAAAGTTCATAAAAATGAGCTAGTTACATTGATAATACAGTTAACATGATTTCCAGACCAAACTGTATCTAACAAGAGTAGCCACAGAAGAGTGCTGCTGATGTTTCAAACACGCTGCTTATTTTAGAACAGAACTAAGTTTGAACTCTGATAAGATGAGAAAAGAAATTCCCTCAGTTCTTGGGGACTATTAGAAATGAGGAGCAACAGCTAAAACAAAGGCATGCAACAACAATATATTCACTCCTAAGTAAAAATACACATTTAATTGAAATAACATATATACTTACTCTTGACCTCCTCAGCACAAATCTATTTTACGACTATAGGATTCTTGCTTATGATTAAGTGTAGTTCATATTTAATAAAAATAAGAGGCAAATCTCAGAAACACATTCACTTAATCATCTTGGGAGCAGAACACATGCATGGACTAAATTTTTTCTTTTTTTTTTTTTTAAAGCAGTCTTTCTTTTAGTAAGTAAAAGGATTAAATTAGGAATGAAATTTCATG